CAAACATGCCTTATAATAGGTCCCGACATCTCCTTTTGCCCTCATACTTGATGGGCCAGTGAGCGTTCTACTAAGGTCAGAGGTCAAAGTCATTCTAGGTTAAAAGCAGAATCAGATATATGTAGGTGACAAAATTACAAGCAACATGTACAATTGACGTACCAATCTATTCCTTACAATCTCAAATACAATATCTCACAGAATATTTACGATATGTTACAAATTGATGAGGTTATAATACATCTAGATTAAAAGTGCAAAATTGTTTAAATTCTCCCAAATAATAAGCAACCATTCTTATAGAAAAAATATACATTGTTGTAAACTCTTTAGTTTTCCTGAAATAAAGTGTGCACTTTTGGAATTTTTAGAAAATAGACATGAAAAGGAATAACATAAGCCAGAAATATTCTAAAATTGAAACAATTTTTGTTAAACTGTTTGCTAGATCTGATTCTCTCTTTAAAATGTCAATATCTATAGGTTTACGCGTTTTTTAACCTTGGTCTGAGATTCGACCCTTGATGAGGCATGATTAGGTGACCTGAATCAAGGTCATTCCTATGTAAAATATCAATATCTAGGTATTTGGTGATTTAAAGTCCTTTGGACTGCTGTGACCCTTGGCAACCAATGATTAGGGGAACTGAGTTCAAGGGCAATGTTAATGGGTCAAGTTTGTTTCAAGATCAAATATTAATATCTAAGTATTTGGCGTAGTAACTACCTTGGGGCTACAATGACCCTTGACGACACATGATTAGGTGACCTAAGGTCAAAGTCAATGTGTATTGGCCAACGTCATTTCAAGGTCATATCTAGGTATCTGGGGTTTCACGAGGTTTCAACAAGTTCATCTCAATTAAAAAATCATTCAAAGTCACGTTATCAATACAGGTATTTTGCATTTTATGGAGTCTGCTGCTATGTGGGGACCCTTGGTGATCCACTCGAACATGTAGATTTCTAGTATTTGTAAAGATGTATAAAGTTAAAATGTATACTTACCATGAGCTCCTATCGTTGGATTAAAATAAGGAGTATATGGTTTTAATCTCTAAAATTGGCTAAGTCATGGTTATGCAACAATAGTATGTTCGAAATACCGCTGTGTAATGCCTGGGTCACATTTGCTGCGAGTATTTTGTTCAAAATTGAATACATTTCTGAACACAATACTCAATCGGCCGGGCGTCGTAGTGAAACTCGGAGCAAATGTGACCAAGGCATAAAACAATTGAATAATACACAACCGTATCAGTTTCACATTTAGCGCGGTCAAAAGCATTTACAAAAATACAGCCAGAGTTGGCAATCATATAAAATGAAACCAATCCCGCTGTGATTCATAGATATAACCAATTTACTGCATTGAGTTCAATGTTATAACCAAGTCGATTTACATGAGTGTCCGATTCATTGTAGCACATTTAAACCTTGACTGTTCTCCAGAAAGCAATAAGCTGATTTTTGTTGTGAATCTCAAATTTTGTCTTCCCGATTTCGGTCATGAATTACGTCAATTTCGCGTGCAAACTTTGTGTAGACCTTGCTATTCCCGGACGCCCAAACGTGTCAGGAACACATTGATCTTGATTGGACATCAGGTTGCAGAGAAATCGTATTTATACTGAGTGGCTTCACGAAAAAATAAAAAGGCTATACGCCTGTTAAGTGGAGTCAAAAGTGAAGACCATTTTGAATTGACGCTCAGTATAAATATATAATACTTTTGTTCTTTCATATCGGAAGCACGTTGGCCTCATGGGTTACG